AGTTTCCACGGAAAAGGGCGTCCGCAGAGCGGGATTCCGACACACAGCATGTGGGGGGGGGTCTCTGCAGCTGCTGTCACAGGCTGCCAATCACAGCCAAGCTCACCGGCACGCAATGCATGCCAGCCTGCCAAAAAGTTATTGTTAAAAGTGTCCTCGTGTAACGTTAAAAGTGTGCAAAGGCGGACACGCTGGCTGATCTGGCATCAGTGTGGTTTGACAGTCTTTCGGCTCATGAGGTCCTGCTACGTGCCTTGAACTGCTGGCTGAAGTAAGGACTGGTCTGGCTTTCTCCAAAGGCTGGGAGTCTCCGATTGGTCGATAAGCCACAGGGGGCAAAGCCAGGCGGAGGGCTGTGTGTTCACTGTGTTAACTTTTCACATTTTTGCAAGTGATGAACCCCAGCTTAAGGCTGTGCTTTTGAAAAATACAGAGGAAATATTTCAGTGCTGTGCATTCAGGGAAAGGGATAGGTATGAATGTTAACAGGTAATGAATCAAACCAGGCGAATAGGTCTGAATCATTAACTGTACACACGCACAAGCTGTCCGGTAACTCAGTTTGGCGTCCCAGCTGCGAGGAGACTTTTGGTCAGCTCTGTGAGCTTGTGAGGCAGAGAGCTGTAGGTGACCTTTGACCCCTCTCTGTCTGCTTCCTGCTTCAGCGAGGAGCAGACGGAGGACTTCCTGTCCTTCTTCGACAGCAGCCTGGACGGCAGGAGGAAGCTGGCGAGCCTCACCAAGGCGTCCCCGGATCGCACCACCTGGAACATCCTGGTACTTTCACACCTTCCCACAATGCCCTGCTGTACGTTACACTGCATTCAGCAGACGCTCTTATCCAGGGCAACTTCCAGCACAACAGAGCAGAAGTGCTGCCGAAGCTATCGGACGCTGCTCTCGGCTTGCCTCTGCCTCGAGCCGCATGGACAGCGCCTGTTGGTCTCGCTTTGAGGCCTTCGGCGGTATGAGTCACTCAGAACGAGCCGGCAGAGGAGGCGCAAAGGCAGTGTAAGGTGGCGATGAGGGAACCTGAAGCTTACAGTATCAGATCCTGCGTGAGTCACTGCCGTCATGCCCTTGAGAAGAACGCTTTAGAGAGACGCATTCTGTAAATATCCAGCTGTATAAATGGATGAAAGGCCGTATGGAAGTCCACTGGGAAACGGGTCTGTGCTGAGCGGAGAGATGGTAATAATTATGTATCGCACTGTAAAACCGAGCTCTCTGCTGACCCGCTCTGACGCTGCAGGATGGCTCCCCCTCCCACTCTCTTGCTCTTTCGAGAGGAGATTTGTCCCCCAGCTTAGTAACAGCCAGGTACCTACAAACATACTCAGGCAGTGAGACAGTGAGTCGTACGCACTAGCAACAGAGAGGAAAAATGCATTTACAGCCCACATTAAAGGTGATGGACCTGACTGTTGTTCTGTGTGTCTCTCTTTTTCCATTCTCTCTTCTCTCTTCTCTTTCTGTCTTTCTCTCTCTCTCTCTGTCTCTCTCTCTCTCTCTCCCTCCAACCCTCTCTCTCTCTCTCCCTCTCCCTCTCTCTCCCTCCCTCTCTCTCTCTCTCTCTCCCCCTCTCCCTCTCTCTCCTCTTTCTCTCCCTCCATCCCTCCCCGTCTCTCTCTCTCCCCTTCTCTCTCTCTCACATTCTCTCTCCATCTCTCTCCCTCTCTCTCTCTCCCTCTCTCCCTCTCTCTCCCTCTACCCCCCTCTCTCTCTCTCTCTCTCTTGCTCTCTCTCTCTCCCTCCCCCTCTCCCTCCCCCATCTCTCTCCCTCTCTCTCTCTCCCTCTCTCTCTCTCTCCCCCCCCCAGGATGACCAGCCTCGGGCGTTCCCCCCTCCCTCCAGCACCCGCAGTGCCGGCAGCCTGGACTCGCCCACCGGGCTGAAAAAGAGGGAGGCGGGCGTGGCGCTGGCCGCCAACTTCACCGCCAACAACAGGTGAGGGACAAAGTCCCCGCTGGCTGGCGTGCCCCCAACCCCCCACGCACTGCCTCACTGTCCTTTTTTTCCCATGAACCATTGCTGTTGATTTCACAGCGTCAGGCGATGCGCGTGCAGCCTTCAGTGTGAAAATGTGCTGGAATTCATCGTTTGAATTCACAGCTCTCCGTCTGTTTGCTCTGGCTGTGCCTCTGTTTACTTACAGCAGATTACTTCTATGGAGGTGTAACCGTTAAAATCCCAGAAGGCACGTATCCTGGTGTGAGTTACTTATCCCTTAAGGGCTTTAGTAAATACATTCAATGAAAATCTCACGCTATGTAAATCTGATTCAGGCTGTTTGCCGAGCAAATAGTTTGATTGGAGAGATTTCCCTCCCTCAGCGGTTAGTTAAACAGCGGTTATCAGCGCAGCCCAGACGTTGACCCCTTGTGTTTGTCGGTGGCTGTTTGTGAGCCAAAGTGCTTTAACGATGAGAGAAATGACGGAGAAACAGCGCCCCCTTCAGGCCGTCGCAGGATCTTCTTTTCCACGCCGCTCACTCTTGCCCCTCTTTCCTTCAGGAGCAACAAGGGAGCCGTGGGGAACTCCGTCACGCCCATCCTGCACAACAACCACTCAGAGAAGCCCCTCACGCCCAAGAGCTCCAATCAGAAGCCTTCCTTCAAGTAGGCGGAGCCTCATTTCCCGCACACAGCCTCACTGTTAAAGCACGTGCCCCTGTTGTAGCTTTAGGGATCTTTAGGGTGTCCAGGTGTTGCATGCATGTTCCCTGTTTCAGTGTTGGAAGGTAGGGTTCTTCTGCCTCTCTCTCTAGATTAATGTCTCACCTCGAAATGGCAGCTGGTACAGTCCAATCCTCTGGCTACTCTTTTGATGTTTCTTAGATAACAGGATGATGGAGTGTGGTTAAATTACTTCGCCTGTCTTATTCAATCCTGTCTGGCCCACAGCAGTGCAGATTGAGGAGCAGGCCTCTCACGTTTTCTTTCTTTCTGTCTCTGTTTTTCTGTCTCTTTCTCTGTTTCTCTGATTGCTGCCTCCCTCTATGTTTTTTTTTCTCTTCCTCATTCCCTCTTGCCTCATTTCTGTCAACTGCCCCCCTTATTTTGCTATCCTGCCTCTTCCCCTCCATCTTTGTGTTTTTATTGCTCTCTTTCTCTCTTCCCTTTTTTCTCCCTCCCTTTCCCCTTCCCTCTCCCTCTCTCTGCCTCTTTGTTGCTCTCACTCTTCCTCTCTCTCTTCCTCTCTCACTCCTTCTCTTTCCCTCTTTCTCTCCCTCCTCCCCTTCCTTCCCTTTCCTGCCGTCTCCCTCCCCCTCTTTCTCTTCCCTTCTCTCTCCCTCTTTTTCTCCTCCGCTCTCTCTCCCTCCCTCTCTTTCCTTCTCCCTCACTCCCTCTCTCTCCCTCCCTCTCTCCTTCCCTCCTGCTCCCTCGCTCTATCCTTCCCTCTCTCCTTCCCTCCCTCTCTCCCTCCCTCCCCCTCCCTCTCTCTCTTCCTGTACAGTAATATTATCAAAGCCACCACTCACGAGGAGTCCAGTCCCTTGGAGAACGGCTCTCTGACCAAGTCCCAGAAGAACTTCTCCTCGTCTTCCTCCACCTCCAACAACAACGCCCCCAGTGGCAGCCCCACCCAGCTCAAGAGGCGCGAGGTCACCGAGGAGGAGGCAGAGAGGTGATGTCACTCTCCTGCCGCCGCACAGCATCATGGGTACTCCCTGGTGCTGGCGCTGGTGGTATCATCACTGTCATTAGGCACTTGAACTGTCTATTTTTATTTTTATTTCTTAGTGCATAACACACCACTTTGTGTCTTGTATTTGGTGTGTGCATTCTCTGAGAGTGTACTGACTGTGAGTGTATATGTGTGTGCATGTCTCTGTATGCATTTGTGTATGTGTGTGTGGGTCTGTGTGTGCATCTGTGTGTCTGTGTCTGCGTATGTCTGTCTAGTGTGTGTGCATCTGTGTCTGTTGTGTGTGTGTGTCTGTGTGTGCATCTGCAGTGTATATGTGACCCTCACTCTCTCTCTCTCTATCTCTCTCTCTGTGCAGGTTCATCCAGCAGGTGAACCACGCGGTGATCACCATCCAGCGCTGGTACAGACGCCATGCCAAGAGGCAGCGCGCCGGCGAGGCCGCCCTCAAACGCCTGCTCACCACCAAGAAGAGGGTATGGCAGCCCCCCCGCCCACGCCGGCCGCGGCCGCACGCTCCCTCAGATCACGGCAGATCCCGAGGCTGTCAAAATTCAAACAACACAGATATACAGCGTTTCCAAAGCAATTTTCACATAAACATACACAGGACAAAATGACAGTTAACCAGCAAAAATATGAACACATTCACATACACACATACAGAAACACACACACATTTACACACAAATTTATTTATTTACATGCTTCCCGCCCATTGTCTATCAATACTGCGAAAGGTGCAGTGTTCCCCTCTCCCAGAACAATTTGTAGTTTTTCATCGTCTTTCCACTGCTAAAATGTGGGGGGTGTAATTCTTAGGATAATGTATTTAACACAAACCAAGCGGGCAGATCCTCAGCCAATCGGCAAACACGCAGGGTTACGACGTCACTTCCTTTGTAGTCTCTCCCTATTGGCTGCTGAGCCCGCTTCTCCGTTTGCTTCCTGTGCAGGAGAGGGAGCAGAGGGCGGAGGAGGCGAGGTCTCCGGGGGCGCAGAGGAAGAGGGACGAGGACAGGAAGAAAGTCCGAGAGGAGAAGGCTCGGCTGGCCCGGCTGGCGGCCATTGAGGTGGGAGTGGTGGCCCTGCTGGTCTCTCCCGCTGAGCTGGGACACTGTCCCCTCAGATGCAGAATTCACTGTTATTCGTTTCGTTTTTACAGTAACACTGAATGGGCAGCCCTTAATAAGGGCTCGATCCTTTATTTACATTGCATGACACTACACTGCTGTCATTTAGCAGATGCTCCAGAACTACTTATGTGGGCTGCAGTTTTATCCATTTATACAGCTGGATATTTACTAAGCAGTTGTGGGTTAAGTGCCTTGTCTAAGGCAACAGCAGCAGTGCCCCAGTGGGGAATCGAACCAGCAACCTTTTGGTTATGAGCCCTGCTCCTTACCCACTATGCTACACTGCTGCACCTGCAATGTTTCCTGTTGCTAACATCTCCACAGGCTTCTCAACGGGACACCAGCATTTTTTCACCGCACCTGTCAGTCCTGCATGCCACGCGTGCTTACTGCCCTCCCCTGTCAGGTTACTGCTCCAGGCAGCGCATTCCTGACGCACTGCACGGTCTTTTCTCACCTGAGAAATGCCGACCTCTGCCCCCGCACGATATTACATTACATCACAGTTACTTATCATATGCTTTTATCAAATTCCTTCATGTTATCCATTTAAATTTACCGAGGCAGTTGTGGGTTAAGTATCTTGCCCAAGGGTACAGCCGCAGTGCCCCAACGGGGAGTCGACCCGGCAACCTCTCAGTTACGAGCCCTGCTCCTTACCACTATGCTACAATTCTGCCCAAAGAAGCGGCAGCGTAGCATATCTTGTCCAAAATGCGTTCTGTGCTGTTCCATCCCTGGTGCGCTACATCGCTGTCCTGTTGGAGGTGATTTAATGGCGCTAGATGCAAACAGAGGAGCTGAGCAAGCAGGCCAGCCGAATGGCAGTGTGGCGTAGTGGTAAGGAGCAGGGCTCGTAACCGAGAGGTTGCTGGTTTGATTCCCTCCTAGAGCACTGCTGCTGCGCCCTTGGCCAAGGTACTTTACCCAGGTTTGCCTCAGTAAATATCCAGCTGTACAAATGGATAAAGTGTAAAAATTGTAAGTTGCTCTGGATAAGAGTGTCTGCTAAATGACAGTAATGTAATGTGGTGTTACGCTCTTCTCTCTTTAATGCCCTCTGCTGGCGCGTGCAGGAACTGCAGCAGAAGAGGGCCCAGCGGGCGGCGGAGGTGCAGAGGGTGGCGGAGCAGGAGCTGGAAGCCCTGAGGCAGGGCGGGAAGGTCGGCCGCAAGAAGCCCGCCAAGACGTCGCCGGGCAACCAGAGCGGCGGCCCGGCCGCGGGCGTCAAGGCCAAGAACACGGGTGAGCGGAGGGGGATTCTGGTTGGTCAGCCGCCCTCGTTGGCTGTCACCGTCTGCAGTGCTGATTGTGACAGATTGTCCCCTCCGCCTCTGTCCCCCACGCAGACTCCAATGTGAAGGTGGCCGGTGACCAGGACGATGTCTCCAACCTGAGGGCCACATCCCCCCTGGCCTCCCCCCGAGGGGGCTCTCAGTGCTCCCAGGTAACCCCCCCATGAACTCTTCTCCCCTTTCACCTGGGCCAGTGTTGTACACATCATTAGAAATCACACTGTATGTCTGTAATATTACCTGTACTGGTGGCGGTCTGTGTTTATAGATATAGATTGAGTGGATCAGTTCATCCTTTTGAGAACAAGCGTTAGAGCTCATGCAAACTGGGTGTCTGTATTATAGTCTAGATTCGATGTAAGCTGGTTCGCTTTATGCATGAAGTCCAAAACACCCTGTTACCTGTACAGGATCCTGTAGAGAATAGAATAGAATAGAGAAGTGTTTTACTGTACGTCAGAGCATGTTTTCTTCCTGATCTAGTACGCTCATATCTGTGTTCCTGGTCCCCGTCCCACAGGAGATCCTGCAGAGGACGGTCAGCGTGGAGGACCAGCGGCAGGGGGCGCCGTCGAGCAGGGCGCAGTCCAAGACCACCCTGAACGAGCTGCTGGACGCCCTGAAGCTGCTGGAGGACGAGCCGGAGAGGCTGTCCGAGCCCAGGAGCTACAGGAAGGAGAAGTATGCCTGGATCGATGAGGTGAGGGGGGGGTGAGGACCGGCGTGGGGGTGCCCCGGGGATTCGGGGATCGGCCCCCTCTCACTCGTCCAGTCACTCCTCCTTTCAGTGCACTCAGTCACTGCACACTTTGATTGGCTGGACACGACTGAGGTACCCAATCAGATATGATTAAGCACGAATTCGGTATCGTCAGAGAGCGTCGCGGTGATTTACGCTGTCTGGAGTTGTGGGCGAGACAGCATACGAGACCAGGATGCATTACATTACTGTCATTTAGCAGACAGTCTTCTCCAGAGGGACTTATACAGGTTACAATTTTATCCGTTCATACAGCTGGACATTCACTGAGGCAGTTGTGGGTTAAGTACCTTTCCCAAGAGTACAGCAGCAGTGCCCCAGTAGGAAATCGAACCTGCAACCTTTTGGCCACTAGCCTTTCTCCTTACCACTACACTTTACTGCTGCCACAATAGAGAGGAGATAGAGAAAAAGACCCATAGGGTGACAGGACTCCTCAGTGCATGTGATCCTGTTTGAGTTACGCTGGTTTGTAAACCGAGGTGCATAGTGATATAATGTCTTACTGTTACAATAGAATAGAATTTGATCCTGATAGAATTCTGTACAGTAGATATCCTGATCCTGGGGCAGCAGTGTAGCATAGTGGTTAAGGAGCAGGACTCATAGCCAAAAGGTTGCCGGTTCGATCCCCCGCTGGGACACTGCTGTTGTACCCTTGGGCAAGGTACTTAACCCACTAGTGCCTCAGTAAATATCCAGCTGTATAAATGTACTTCGTAAAAAGATTGTAACCTGTGTAAGTCATTCTGGATAAGAGCATCTGCTAAATGCCAATAATGCAATCTATGTATGTCTGTGTGTCTGTTTTCACGCCGTCCCCTCTCCGCAGGATGGAGACTCCACCTCCCTGACGGCGGATAACCTGGAGCGGCACGGGCAGCTGAGCCAGGCCACCGCCCTGCCTGAAGGGGGTGCTCTTCTCTCTGAGGCCAAGCTGCAGAGCATCATGAGCTTCCTGGACGAGATGGAGAAGTCGGAGCAGGAGCGGCCGCGGTCCGTCACCTCGGGCTCCCACAGAGAGGTGAGGGCGGGCTAGGGCGGGCTAGGGCGGGCTGGGGCGGGCTGGGGCGGGGCGGGGTGGGGCTATTGCCAGAGGGGCGGGGCTCTCATGCTGTGTAAAATGCTACCCTGTGTTCACCCTCTCTTCACTGAGGAAAAGGAGGATTTGGGGGTGCACAAGGACGGGAGACTGTTCATTCTTTAACGCATAGGTAAATGTGGAGCTAAGGGGAAAAAAAAGGACATTTAGCGAAGCTCTGGAAGTTACTCTGCTAAGCTATGTAAATGTATTGTACACCTGCAGTGCTCACAGTTGAGATCTGATGAATAACACAGCTACATCAGACGCTCTCACCCGTGCAACTCTAAGTGGATACAGTTTAACCGGTTACAGGTAGAGCTGTAAGTCTTAAACCTGCAATTCCAAAAACGGCCTCTGGGTGGTGCAGTTCTCAGGGGGAGTGAAAGCTCAATTCCTCCAGCGCCTCCCCACTGCAGATATACCCATACAGTCCCCAGCTTCATCACAGGGAAGGCTTCCTTCACGCCCCCCCCCTCGATCCCCCCAGGTGCTGCTGTCGGAGGAGGAGATGGCGGGCGTGGACCAGGCCTCAGCGACCGCGGCCGAGGTCACCGGCACCATGATGAGGCTGAAGCTGGAGCTGGAGGAGAAGAAGCGCACGGTCAACATGCTGCAGACCGCTCTGGTACGGTCCTGTGCACCGCGTAACATACACACACGACCACAGACTGACCGCAGACTGACCGCTCTGGTGTGGTCCTGTGCACTGTGTAACATACACACACGACCACAGACTGACCTGTGTACCGCATATCATACAGACACGACTGCAGACTGACCACTGTGGTACAGTGCTCTGTCTACAGGATAACATACACACACGACCACAGACCAAGCGCTCTGTGTGGCCATGTGTTTATGTATTTTTGACCTGTAGCTGCTCAGAGGAGGTGCTTGTGTCTCTCTGTACCCTGCATGTACAATGAAGGCTCTTACCTGATCAGGTGTGTGTGTGTGCGTGTGCGTGTGCGTGTGTGTGTGTGTGTGTGTGCGCGTGCGTGTGTGTGTGTGTGTGTGCAGGCCCAGCAGAGGGAGCTGACGGTTCGCCATGTGAAGGAGACTGAGAGGGAACTCTCCAGAAACCTACAGCAGCAGAAAGAGCAGTATGAGGCTACCATACAGAGACACCTGTCCTTCATAGACCAGGTACGCCTTTTTCCTGTCTGTCCTTCTCCTTCTCTCTCTCTCCCTCTCTGTTTCTCTTCCTCTCTGCCTCTGTCTCTGCCAGTCTCCCTCTCTCCTTTCTGACATACACACACACACGCACACACACAGTCATGCACACACACACACACAGACACGCACACACAGACACGCACACACAGACACACACACACACACACACACACACACACACACACACACACACAGTCATGCGCACACACACAGACACACACACACACACACTCATGCACACACACACACACACACACACACACACCCCGCTGTGTGCCTTGTTCTTCAGAGCGCGCTGCCGTGTGTCTCTGCAGCTGATCGATGATAAGAAGGCCCTGAGTGAGCGCTGTGAGGGGATGGTGGCCGAGCTGAAGCAGGTGGATCAGAAGTACACCAAGAAGATCTCTCAGATGCAGGAGCAGCATGAGCTGGTCAGTCTCCCTGCCCCCTTCACAGCAGGCAGTGCCTGTGTGTGGCCACACGGGGGCGCCTGCGAATCGACATGGTTACTCTCTCTCTCTCTCTCTCTCGCTCTCTCTCTCTCTCTCTCTCTCTCTCTCTCTCTCTCTCTCTCTCTCTCTCTTTCTCTCTGTGATTAGGGTATCTAATCAAACGCTGTCTGTGAGTAACGCAGGAGAAATGGTAGATTCCTGTGATAGATGTGTCTTCGATAACGCTTGGATGTACGTTTAGCCACGCTGACCGGCTCCTTCGTGCAGATGCATTCTCTCTGCTCTCCGCTGATGGCCTTTTCCTCCTGCATCAGCTGTGCTGCTACGCCGTCTACTTCTCTGATAATGCTGCCGTTGGTGCTTTTTAAACATTCTTATTTTTCTCTTTCTCTGTCTCTCTCCCTCTCTCTGTCTCTGTCTTCCTCTGTGTCTCTCTCTTTGTGTCTCTCCCTCTCTGTCTCTGTTCTGGCTGTAGGTGTGGCACATTTTGGGTCCCTTGTGTGAGGTAAAACTCTTTCGC